TATGTGAACATACGTATGTCATCCACCTGGTTTAGTGACATAGAAATTGTTTTGGCAACATGTAGTCCAGAAAGTCGTTAAGAGTGTCATTGTTTTTTTGTTCTGTGTAGTAGATAACGTCTAATCTGCCCGAGAGGATGTTGCAGCGACATATATCATCTGGATTGAAAGGATTGGTGACCGTAATATACTTTGCTGGCCGAGTTAACGTTGTTGGAAAGGTACAGCTGACCATTTCTATAAGGGAATAAAGGTCACAAGGTGGCGCTCTCGGCTGGATAAAAAAAAAGCGAGTTTACCTGTTGAATTCAGGTGCGCTTTCAACCTTTGGTTTTTTTATCGCAAGCTCAGTTAATTAGAAAATACAGAATTATTCCACATTAAATATTTGACGAATCCCCTGTTATTCTGTGGATTTATCTTATCCCTCTTAGGGGAAAATACCACCCCTGTCAGAAGATATCGATCCATTGCCACACATAGACTTCCATGACAAATCTGCTTTGATGAATAAATTACTAAGTAGGCCCGACCTTGTCAGGTGTTCTTCGAATTAGGGCCGAAAACGCCGCTGACAGAGAGGATAGCCAATCGATGACCTAAGACAGAGCGGTCAGAGGCTTTTAATGTTTTGACTGTCACTCATAATTAATATTAATTGTAATTTTATTGAATATTTTACCAACTCTTCTGGTAGAAGTTATTACTTTAAAAAATAAATAAAATATAGATAAAAATGGTTCAGACGAAAGGATTTATAGGCCATTAATTAATGTTGACAAAAGATTATCTACACAATTAATGTAATGATATAAAACGTCTAACACAGGGGTTCCCAACTAAGACCCATCTGAGTAACCAGGTCATTTTCTAGGACCCAGAATTATTTTGGAAGGGAGGGGATTACTGTTCTCATGTGTTTAAATCTTATGTATTCTATGTTTTTGTTTTGTTTTCCATTATTGTATAAATAGTTTTAAAATAACAAGACGTTTTATGTTTGACTGTATCTTCTTTTGCGTTCCACAGTTTCGATACCATTGATCTAAGCTACCGAGGTAATGGAGTTTCTTAGGCCTAACAAAAGTGAAGTCCACCTGTTGGGCCAGCGGTAACTTTACAAACTTACAAAAATAAATATCCGGGGCTCGAATTCTTACGGTGGACAGAGTGCACTAAAAAAAAACAAAAAAAACAGCAACCAAAAAGTGATTACGTTTCACACTTGATTGGAAAGGTTGACTAGCCCAAAGTACTAGCCCACTAACATTATTTGAAGGCTCTACAAGAATGTTTAGTGTTAGCTGTAGAGCAAAAGTGTTGTGTCCATCGCGGGGGGGTCGAACCCCGGATTTTAGCGTTGTACGATAAACCTATCAATCAAATTCAAAACATCAAAACAACTTTTTGAAAACTATTTTCTGGTTTATATATGTGTAAAACATGTTAAAAAAATAACATACTTTGAAGACAATTAGGCTACAATACACGTGATCAAAGCTGTTCTGTCAATAAAAACTTTGGACAAAAATAATTCAGGTTTCGATAACCGCGGTATGCAGAGCACAGATAGCCAAACTGTGTAGCTTCGTGCTAAACAAGAAATGTTTCCTATTATACAAGTAAACCATAAAGTATAGAGCCACTTTTTTTTCGTGCTGTAGTTTACAACATGCGATGTAGTGGTGTTCTACAAATGAACATTTGATGAGAGGGGTTCGGAACTTACCAGCTTTTCCGGAACTTTCCTATATTTCAGCTCGTCGTCGAGCGTCTTCGCAACTTTCACCTGACGAAACAAGTAGCGGCACTTCTACGTGCCCTCTCCCGCCACTTCAGCAGCATCGTTTGTCACGTGACGTGAACCACGCAAATGACAGGTTGTCAGAAGAAGCTCGTGCTCTATGCGACCACGCATCATCGACACGTTCTTGTGTCATCTCCACGATGTTAGTTAGTGTCAAGACTTGGAATATATATCCATTTACTCGAGCATGTTCGGTGGCGGGATTCGAACCACTGATTATGAGTCGAGTGTCCTAGCCACCAGATCTAGAACAAATTTACCTGTACGTTTGCTTGGTTGCATTCGGTTGGAAAAATTCTTTATGATGTTACACCTTGTGTAATAATGTTACACCATGTGTAAAATGTGTTCACCTATGGCTTTCTCTGCACTTCTTGCAAATAAATGTTAGGTCCACAATAATTTTAACGAACTTGTAACGTGTTGTTTTGAACGTATTCAAAACGAGTTGATAATTTGTTATATCCACTCAATCGTTAGGAATTTAGTTACATTATCCCTAGTGTGTTTCAGTTTTTAATATCTTTGTTGTCAGATTTTTTTTTTCGTTTAACAACAACAAACGGTGATCCCTATCAGCCCTGGAAGCGTTAAAACGTGATTCAATCTCACTAATTTTTTTTTTAGTAAAGAGTAACCCATTAAGAACCTCGAAGGACGTTCCATGTTTACACTGGCGAAAAAATTAAGTGGACGTTGGGTCACTAAAGTATTAAAAATAACATAGGACATCATAAGATCAATTTTAATAAAATGGAAACACCAACTACTAAGATACACGCAGTAATTAGATAGGTTTCAAAACACGTATACGACCAGAAATTAGAAGATCAACAACGACTAACAATTCAGTGTTAAACTTTGGAACTGGTGAGGGTTTATTTTCTATGTGCAGATAAAAAACAAGAGGGAATCATCAACAGCTGTGGCACTTGAAATTCTTTTAGGCAGGATTAGAGTAAATTAATCTGAGTCATTCACCCCCAGAGGCAGGCGTCCCCACCCCATCCCCTAAGGAGGGGTAGTTAGCCCTATTCTATTCATGATGTATGTGGGCAATATGCCTTTAAAAGACCCTAATCATTGGTTCACATCACAATTCGCGGACGATGTTGCGGTTCGGAAAAGTGCCTCCACCCCATCCATAGGAGCAACAAATGTACAACCATTATTAAGTATTATAGAAGAACACTGCCAACAATATCGAATAAAAATAAACGTTCTTAAAAACCAGTTACTTACTTTCACGAGACTAAGAAAACATAAAAAAAGACCTACCTAAACTATACATGAATGGAACACTTCTCCAGACCACAACCTCTGCAAAATGTTTAGGATTAACCTTTGACCCAAAACTGACATGGGTAAAACATACAAATAATATATTAACAAAAATCTGGAAACGTACAAATTATGCAAGAAGTCTAACAGTCAAAACCCGGGGAACATCACCTGATAACATTATTAAAATATACAAAACATGTATACGTGTCATCATAGAATACGAATGGATAAACATAGCTCCAAAACACAGAACTAAACTACAATGTATACAAAACTCACTCATTACCACAACATATAAAGTCCCCCGCATCACCTCATCAAAATTTATGCACAGTTACACAAACATACAAACAATAGCCGACAGACTTTTGCATAATACTCTAAATTACTTTGAGAAAATTTGGCACAAGAATGGCCTACTCTGTGAACTTGATCGCTACTACATACGTGATGGAAGTAGGCCTAAGTATCTCTCACCTGTAAATGATGGCTACTACATACATGATGGAAGTAGGCCTAAGTATCTCTCACCTGTAAATGATGGCTAC